TGCCAGTTTGGGCCTGTGGTTTTTCTTTAACAATCTATTTACACATTTAAGTTAGTTGTGTGGTCCCTTATAGCCATTATTTAAATCCTATAAACCCAATGGTTACTCTTGGGCACAACTGGTCAAGTATTATTTACTTGACGTTCTTATTTCATCATTTATGTTTGTCCTGAATTGGAAATAAATCCAACCACAAAGGCCTTGTTTCCAGGCATTGTATCTTAGTCGCAGATTGATCACATATATTTGTCCAAACAGGTGACCTTTTCACAGTGAAATCTCATGGGGAGGATAAAAATCTAAGTCAAGTTCGAGAAATTGTCACACCTAAAGTGATTGCATACTGATTTAACTCCAGAGCTTTGGTTCTCATTCCATGGTTTTCACCTATACCCAAAATGGAAATATATTAAAATTCTCAATTAGTAAATGAATAAACAGGTGGGGCTAGTAATCCTAATAAAAACAAACAAAGAAAGCCAGTGGCAATGCTAATATAAACGGACAAAGAACAAATGACCCCGGACAAAGAGCCGAAAAGGGAGTTTTTTTAAATATGTGGTTAAGAGAAGGAATTGCAGGGAAACGTGTGCCTGTGTGCCCTGTGTTTCATTCTGCCACTCACTCCTCCCCTGCCGGTGGAGCTCAGAGCTCCCAGAGCACAACAGCACTTCTCAAGCAGTCCAAACGCAGTTTACCTGGGTAACTTGTTCACATGCAGTCTTCCTTGTAGGTGTGGGGCCAAGTCCAGGACTCTGCATTTCTAACCACCTCCTGGATAACTTGCTGCCGCTGGTCCAGCGTCCACAAACTGAGAGGCTCGGCCCTAGTAGAAAGCTGATTGAATTAATTGGAAGCAAGGGTCAGTGGGAAGGGAGCCCATTCCTCCGGGACTCGGGCCAAGGAGAGTGGGGCTGCATGAAGCTACAAGTAAGAAAATTACAGGATCGCTCAGAGAACGTGTGTTAGAAAAGCAGGATTGCAGCCAGCTGGGGAATGGCAGGGAGACCAACCACAGCTTCCTTAGAAATTTGCAGCTCTTACAGATAATCAAGTGCTCATGAAGTAACATCAGGGGCTGAATAAAAAATAGCAACAACTATCTAATCAATTAGAAAGAGGAAATAAACTGTTTTTGTTACACAAAGATCCAATCTCTGCTGCTTTAGGTATGTATTTGGTTTCTTTTTCTGTGAAATGAAAAACAAAATAGTAATATTCAACCAGGGTTTGATGAAATACATCTGAAGCAAGTTAGCGATTATTCCGAAAATTGCTACATTGGCTAAATTGGGAATTAGGAAGAAATAATCAAGTTGAATAGGTCTTCAGACTTCCTCAGTAATGAAGTGGGAAAACAAATTAACTATTTGGTGAAACAAAGATAAGGCATAAATGCAGGAGTATGTATGCTTTTGTGGGCCAGCCTGCCACCTGCATTTGCCGCCCGGATCTACTACAGGGCTCAGGGCAAAGAAGGGTTAGACATGGTCTGGTTAAGGGGGAGCACCTCTCTGCAGAAAGGTGGGTGTGGAAGAACTAGATAAGGCGACTTCGGCCAAAGAAGAGGATAATACTTCAAAACGAAGCTACTGAACATTAGATTTTCACTTTAATTTTTTAAAAATCATTTCACTACTTACACTGCAGCACTATTCCTGACTTTCCTCTGTGGCGAAACTGAGTATTTGACACTTTCCAACACGAAGGATTGTATCCATATTGACTAACGAATTCCTTATTTTCTTACCTCCCCTTCAAGGGCGTGCGAACTTTGCTTTCTCTCTGAGGTTTTACTCCCTGCCCTTTATTACGCTGTATTTCTGCATTGTGCATACACTGGGAATTACTGTCCTCTGAATTGCCTGAATGGCCTCAATCACCTCTTTCTTCACAGTTCTTCCTTTTCCCCAACCCTCTCAACTTCATGTACATTCAAAGGTAAAGACACACTGGCGCCTTGCCGTCCTACTTCCGGCTTCCGGACACACCGACTCTAGAAAAGTCCCTGGACGTGGCCAAAGTGCAGGGGCGGCACTTTTTACAAACCGTTTTGAGCGCGAAAAAGAGGATGTGTCACTGGTTAAAACTGAAGCTTCAGCTTAACCAGTGCGAATGCAAATTTGTGGATTCGGCGTTCTGATTGGGCAGAGCTAAGTTTTTTGACGTCACACTGAATAACCACCAATCAGACATAAGACTTTAGTTTATCCCCTTATTTACATGCGAGGTTCTATATAAAAGGGACACGGCGTGTTCAGCTCACACCGCTTCTCTTGATTTCTCCATCTCGTTTAGTCGTCTCGACCATGCCCGAGCCGGCCAAGTCGGCGCCCGCCCCGAAGAAGGGCTCCAAGAAGGCGGTGACCAAGGCGCAAAAGAAAGACGGCAAGAAGCGCAAGCGCAGCCGCAAGGAGAGCTACGCGGTGTACGTGTACAAGGTGCTGAAGCAGGTGCACCCGGACACGGGCATCTCGTCCAAGGCCATGGGCATCATGAACTCGTTCGTCAACGACATCTTCGAGCGCATCGCGGGCGAGGCGTCGCGCCTGGCGCATTACAACAAGCGCTCGACCATCACGTCCCGGGAGATCCAGACGGCCGTGCGCCTGCTGCTGCCCGGGGAGCTGGCCAAGCACGCCGTGTCCGAGGGCACCAAGGCCGTCACCAAGTACACCAGCTCCAAGTGAGCGCCTGTGCAGCACCCTGGAACCCAAAGGCTCTTTTCAGAGCCACCCACGTTTTCATATAAAGAGCTGTGTTCTGGCCTGTCCCTCCTTGTAGTGGGTGTTTATTTAGCTGTCATGCTGACACTAAAGATGAGCGTTACCAGGTTCCCGGGGTGACTACCTGAGATCCTGACACTCGTTCCCCGTTCTGGGTTCCCAGCGGCAGAACGTGGGCTGAAACCCAGGCTCCTGGGGCTCCTGGTCACCGTTTTAAAGATCACAGAGGACCTGTGGGCTGGTGGCGGCGCTTCATGAATCTTCTACAAGGGCTGTGAAGGTCTCCGTTTTACACAAAGCACCACCCCAATCCCTCCAAGACGCCACAGCAACATGAAAAGACCGCTCCAGAAGTGGTGCTTCCTCTTGGTGACTTGGTGGGTCTCCGCCCACGGTCTTCTGTGGGTCTGACTTGCACTCCCCATCCCCTAGCTCTTCGCCTCGGGCCTTTAGAATTCTGGCTGAGCGTTTTATGGAAGGTTTTTCACGAACGCATTACGTTGGGCGGCTGCAGTTCTCCAGTTCAGGAACGATTATTTTAGCTTCGATTTATCCCCCTTTTCTAATCTTTCAAAAGACCCTCATCGTTAATTTCTAATGGCAAAGCACACAGTCCTCTCCTCAGCCCCTAAGTCGCTTCACAAGCTGAGTGAATTCTCAGTATTAAGTTCCCTCGCTAGTGCGGCTACATAATACAATGACTGGCTTTGCGGCCTCCCCTCCGTCCTCCTGTCACTGTCGACTTCCCTTCCAGCCCATCCCCCAGCCTTTCTCCAGCTCAGCAACTGTGAGGCAATCCGGCCTGGAAGCTGAGAGGGTACCCAGGGTGTGTCAGGACAGAGGGGAGGAAAAAGTGTGAAAGGAGGAGTTGCTTTTTAATGTCTGCGCTGGACGCTGAGGTCTGCAAGCCTGCATTTTGTGAACAAATGATGCTGAGGAGAGGAAACCCCGAAAACTAAACAACAGAACTTGTCTTCTTCCCTCATCTGTCTGGAAAGTTGTGAGGCAGCGCCTTCCTTCCTGAAGTTAGGTTAACAAAGGTTTGGTTGGCAGCACCTCATCCATAAGTGGAAATAGCAATTGCACCAAGAATTGCTGTTAGTGGCCGCCCCAGAAACCAAACACTCCACAACCTTCCCAGCCAGGCTCTGAGCTCCCCCCCTTTATTCTCTCAAAAGGGCACAACGGTACAAACAAGTACTGATGTTCAGGTCACCAAATTACAACTGCTTTTCAACTTTCCTGATCACCTTGATGTTAGTTGCCGGGGAGACTGAGTCCTCTGTCCATAGTTAATCTAGTTCCCCGTCACTGTGGCTTCCAAAACTCACACGTTGTCCTGATTATGCATGTCCAGACCCTTTGGATGACACCCCAACTCAGAATCAGAAGTCCCACTGGATGTCAAGCCCTGTACAGCCAAGCCCAGGTCTGGCTCTCACCTAACTCTCCAACCATTCTCAGAGGACTTTTTTCCTCCTAGTTGTTTTTTGTTTCTCCGTTGCTTTTTTGGTTTGGGTTGGGTTTTTTCCCCCTGATTTTAGAAAAACTATGAACCGCTCCAGCCTTCAGGCCTTTGCCGCTTGTCTTTGCCTGAAATGCCCGATTCCACATCCATTCCTCCCCCCCCCCAACACACACACACACACACACACTTGGATTGATCAATAACCCATTTCGGATCTATCATCGTGTTTTGGGGTAAGCTGGTCTCCACAGTTAAAGGCTCTCACAGCCCCAAGGAGCTGGCTGCATAGCCAACCCCAAACTGACTATTACTAAGGGGCAGGGGACCCTTAGGAACCGAGACCCCATCCATGAGGCTAGCGGGGAACTCAGCCTTACATGGACCACATGGGTCTACATATTAAAAACTGCTCCTAGGATAGACATTAGTCTTGAAATATCCAGCTCTGCACGACCCAATCTAGTCCTCCCACTCCTTCTTGTGTCAGAGGCCCTGCTGTTTGCTGCCAAGTGGAACACAGGAGGGACCAAGACAAAGCACATTTGATATCAGCTTTCCTTACAGCTTTCAGGCCAAGGGTAAATTGAAGTTGCCACTAGATTCACCAATAACCAAGTTCCTCTAGTGATCGGACAGACCCAGGTGAAGGAGTCCGGCTGTGGGACACCCTCAGCTCCAGACCAGGAGCTCCTGACCCTTAGCCTTCGTTGTCTCATTCCTCCAGCTTGTTCAGATATCGGCACCTTAATAGCTGGTGAGAGGTCAGGCGTTAACCAGGCCGGGGAGTAACACCTGACATCTACAGGAATCAGCAGCATGCTCACCCCTCTGCACCCTAATACTTCCCCTGAATACCACCCAACCACAAGTACATAATACAAACCATGTTAGTAAATTTTTGCCACTTCAACGCCTCAAAACGCACAATCGAAAAAAAAATAGCAACTTATAAATCGATAAAAACGGAACACACCCAACATCTAATAAGCAAAAGTGACAAACTCTTTTCAACTGAATGGATAGGCGGCCCTGAAAAGGGCCTTTGGTTTTGCTCCAAAAAGCGAGCTCGCGAGTGGACTCAGCCCCCGAAGCCGTAGAGGGTGCGGCCCTGGCGCTTGAGCGCGTACACCACGTCCATGGCCGTGACCGTCTTGCGCTTGGCGTGCTCCGTGTAGGTGACGGCGTCCCGGATCACGTTCTCCAGGAACACCTTGAGCACCCCGCGGGTCTCCTCGTAGATGAGCCCGGAGATGCGCTTGACGCCGCCGCGCCGGGCCAGGCGGCGGATGGCGGGCTTGGTAATGCCCTGGATGTTGTCGCGCAGCACCTTGCGGTGGCGCTTGGCGCCGCCCTTGCCGAGCCCCTTGCCGCCTTTGCCACGTCCAGACATATTGAGCACAAAACTGGCGAGTTCCTAGCACAATGCTGAGACCGCCGCTGCTCAGTACTTTTATAGTGACATGACGGACCTGATTGGAAACTACAAGAGCAGAGGCGGGAACCGACTCAGTTCCCGCCCTTCTCGCATTCCTTCTTTGCTCAGAGCTGTGGAGACGCAGTGTTGTGTCTGAAGGGACCTTGGACCCAGGGAATAAGTCTTGGTCGATGCTCCTCCATATAGACATGTATGTATGTGTTTGCATACAGTACTTGGAGCATTAAGTGGGCGAAAATTCACACATTTTCCACAAAGAAGCCTGACACTCGTCCTTCAGATTTCCCAAAATATGCAATAATTAGTCAATACACGTCTTTTACAAGACACTTATAAAAGATAATCTATGCAAATTGTTTAAAGTAACATCTGTAAATCAGCAGCCACTCAACGTTAATTATTATGACACTGCAGTGTTATGGCGACCCTGAACTCCTGCCTCAACATGCCTGAGACATGAGAGCATCCCGATTTACTAAAGTCTGTGGGGTCATAAAAAATTAATAATGTTCCTCCAAATTAACAGCAACAGATTAACAGGAGAAAATGAAATTTTAGGATGTGCGTACGGGGAACTCATATAAGCAGGAAAATCCCAAAGACAGGCAAAATACAGTATGTATGTCATTTTGGATATAGGAGAAAGTGGGAAATGGGTCTGGCATTTCAAAAAGGAAATAGGCAATTGAAAGGTAGAGAAAGTGGCAAACACACTCTTGCTAGGCAACTCAGAAACAATAGGACAGAGAGAAATCTAGTGGACACATTTTTGCATGGACCCTTCCTGTCAACCATACTTAATTCAACATGTACTAAAAATATAAGATGATTATGCTAAGGTTCCCTACCTGCAGCAGGTCTTTCTGTCAGAATCTCTTTAAGAAGGAAAGGGAAAGTTCCTGAGATTGTTGGGCTTTAATTGAATTCAACTCAAAATTGTCTGTATGCCAGGGTGGCACATTTCAGAGAGATTTGTTCCTGACCCCATTTCCCTTCAGGACTCCTCAAAATAATATTTAACTCAGCATTCATTCCCTTGAGGAGGTCCAACTGACTCTGGGTAAGTTGCCTTTTCCTCCTTCGTCTATGAGGAGGAGAACTAAGTGCATCAAAGCTGAGTTTACAGTGTATGGAAAAAAGTTCCAGAGTAGAATTCTTAACCTGGTTTATGCAGACGGGATTCAGAGCCTCTGGGAACCTGTGTATATAGAACAGAAATTCCATTTTTATTCTTACTGTTCCCCAACTGAACCTAAGCATTTCTTCTGTTTATGAATGCAGGCAACAAATAGTTTAATTGGCAGAAACTGCTGTATTCATATCAGGATGCATTTGCAGCTGTCAATATCTCAAAAATATCATCTAAACATATTACTCCATCTAAACTGTGGTAATTCTTAGTGACATGGGAAATCTTGTTATTTATTTAATGTCTTGATAAAGAACAACACATGTTAATACTTCACCAATTTGGGTTTTGGTAAGCTTAATAATGGTATTTTTAATATAAATGTTTTCCTTTGTAATCCTATGTATATTTTCTGAAACATTTAAAACCATTATTTCGGAAAGGGGCCCATAAACTTATTATCAGTTTTATTAAAAATGTCCATGACACAAAAGTGGCTAAGAGTCCCTCTTCTGTAAAATATTGATTGCACTGAAAGGCTCTGGGTGTCACGACTGTGCAGAAAATAGCACCAGGAAAGTTCACAATGTCTCAATAAAAATCAGGTTAGTCACAATACTCTGACGGAGGTGTGTAAGGAAGGTGGCAATGATTTTCTCCACTTATACACAGTAAAAGGTCATTTCCTCTCCTTTAGTCTGAGTTTTCACTCTTCCCTTAGAAATGGAGAGAAATTTTTCTAGGGATTAAGTCCAGTCTTCAGTTTTTACGAGGTAGAGATAAGTGTGGACTGAATTATCTATAGCTAAGTAAAAATGTACCTCTAGAATTATTTTAGCATTCTCTCACAAGGCACACAGAAGATTGTCACAAGGTATAGCCCCTGTCTCCCAAGGAGATACAGGGTTTTTTTTTCTGCTTTGCTCTGTAAGATGTATGAGATTTTTTTCCCCCCAAACTGTACCTGCTTTTGTTCTAATTTACATAAGTAAATCTGTTTATGCTTACTCAGTAATAAATTGTTGTTTGTCTTCCAAGATATTGATTTAGAAATATCTTTTTTTTTTTTAAAAGAAGTGTTTTATTTCTGCAACATGTGAAGGGGACAAACAGTCCCCTAGTTTTCACATTCCTTTATCATGTCTAATAGGAATGTGCCTGCTGCAACATGAATTCTCTGCCTGTTAATGTGAGGATTCAAACTCCCTAAGAAGAGGCATATTTGAGGCACTCAGACCTCACTGGCAGAAATTGAAACAGGCTACTTATTCCCTAATCGCTCTGCACCTTCAATGAATTACACGGCCCCAACTGGTCAGGCAGGGCTCTCATCCAGTTTAAGATGAACAACAAGTGTCTGGCACAAGTGTGTCGACAGCCCTATGCAGAGTGTGACAGCACAGAAAACAAGGCTTTGGGCAGCAGGCACGATGGCAGAATAAAGCACTGGGACAGGACTAAGGACACGCTTGCGTTCCGGTTCCACACAGACTCCCTGTGTGTATTTGTGCATGTTTCTTTATGTAAACGGCTTATCTATGAGACCATCATACTCTTGGTTGTTTACAGGCTACTAGGAAGATTTGAAAGTGGACACGTATGCAGATAGCATGAAGCAGATTAGAATAGCCAGTAAAGAAATCAGTGTAGCAGTTCAGAAGAGGGGGAGATCTGCACATTAAGAGATTGGGAATGATATATATAAACACTTCAAAGCATGTCATTTGATCAGTTTGATGTATACATTGACTTTAAAATAGGGCAAGGAGCGGGAAAAGGGGAGAAAAACCTGAAAAAATGTACCGTAAAGGGTTAGATGATTTGACCAAGACCATGGAGCAAATAAGCTGCAAGACCAGACTCAAATACACGTCAGTGTGTCTGCAAATCCCACGCTTGTTCTACTCAACCACCTGCCAGAATGGCGACTTAATACCCAGAAAAGACGTTGAAGGCTAAAGTGCTTACTCTTCCATCAGAAAGCTACAGGGCAATAGGCTATAGAAATCTGAAGCTCACCTGAGGAATATTTCATTGAGAACAATAAATACGATGAATTACACAGAGACTAAGAGGTTGTGGAGACCCATAAAAAGGCTGTGAGAATAGCCATTCCAGACATGAAACAAAAGAAGCAGAATTACATCCATGATAGGGGAAATAAAAGAGGAGAGATGAATTTAGGAAGAATTCACTGAACTTGGCGACGGCCTGGATTTGTTGACAATGAAAATGGGAGAACTGAATTTTTGTGTGTGCCAGGTAACAAAAGGATGGTGATGTTGTCGAAAGAACTTAGGAGATATCGACTGGCAGGTTATCTTTTGACTAGAAACTGCTTAGATGAGTTTGGTCATGTTGAGAGTCTGATGTAAGTAGTCCAACTAGCAGGTCTCCAACATGCACCCAGAAATGTAAGCTTGACATTTAGGCAAGAGGCCTGACCTGAAGGGCGAGACTTCAGAATGATCTACACAGAGGCAGCTTACTCCCCCACAAAGGAGAATGGGGTGTATTTGGGAAATGTCTGAAATCTAGGTGGCTAAGAGGCAGCTCTTCCTTTGCTGGTGCTGTGGAAAACGAACTGTAATGAATCAAAACCATTTTAGGAAGATTAGGGATACATGAGCTCCATAACCAGCAAATGCACACTCCAAGTAAAAATGATTTCTATTTAGCTGATTCCTCATCTCCTCTCACCCATCTGAATTGTGGTTTTCATTTGTTAGCACTTCCTATTTTTTCATGTCTAAGTTGGATGTCATGCATGAAGCAATCAGTCATTTGTTGATTTTCATGGGATCAAGGAATACGAAACCCTCACATGTTGTGCTTTGCTCTGTCTGGTCCCAGCATTTCTTTTATACGTCTAGTGAAACACAGATTGTGCATGCTGCAAAATTAACATGATATGTTAAAGACAAACATAGTTTGAGGAGTGAGAAAGGAAATCAAATTATTCTGTAACCGAACTCAAGGGGTTCACTACTTCGGGTCTTCTATTCAAGGGCCAGACCTGGTTGTGTTAGGTAGTTTTACCTGCAGTAAAGGACGCAGGCGATTCACAGCCACAGCTCTATCTCCAGGAAGCTGGAGGCTTAGCCGTTGCTTATACCCACTGTTTGGTTAATTACACGTTGGTTTCTTCTTGGAAGTCGGCTAAACTTATCCAGGGGGACTCCAGTCAGTCTCATCCCTTAAGAGTAGAGTCTGCAAAAGTCTGTGCCATATTTTAATATTTAGCAAAAAGAGCATTTAGTGAGAACCTCCCAGACCTTGAGACCCTTGTCCTGTGTAACTCTAACATCAATCTATTTCTTACTGAACATAAAGCATAAGCTGTTTCCTATAAACCTAGATCCTTCCGTAAATAAGAAAGGCAGTACCAAATATATAATCTGCTTTATTTTTAATTTCCCTCTCTTAAAGGAATTCTGTATAAGTGTGTGCGTGTGTGTGTGTGTTTATTCTTTAGTGATGCTACTTGAATACTTTGCCAAACTTTATCTTCCCCAAGCATGACAGACTGCTATCCTCAAAAGCTTGTCAACATGTAAAAATCTGACCCTCCCCTAAAGAAGCAGCGTAAGTAAAAGACTTGCCTTTCCTTTTTTTTACCCATAAAAGGGTCCAGCTGCCTTTTATGCCTTTTCCTGAATGTGCTCAGCCATCAGCTATTGCAGCACAGGCCCAGCTTCCCTGACAAGAGAACTATTGACTGTTGCATTTCCATTTTCCTAAATAAATGTTGAATGATTGAAACCCAAAACCAGCTAACCTTCACATCACCACAACAAGCTTTGATCAAGCTTTTTCAGACAAAATCATGACTTTTCCTCTCAGATATTGCTGTTGTTCCAAGCATCCCTTACTACCCTTCTTGTAGAGAAATCCTGAGAGAGCCTGTGTTATTTCTCCTCATATGAAACAGATTTTCTGGGTAAATCTCAATGAAAATGCAGCAGTCGCTGAGCTGTGGCTGACGCCAAGAAGGTACCCAGTATTACTAGAGAGCAAGCCCCTGAGGATACAAAGGGACACATTTATATTTTACACGAAAATCTGGAAGTTGTCTCTCCCTCCTGTGAATCTCTCAGTGTCTCTGGCTTTTGACACAAGCTGAGGCCAAAATGATAATAACTGGAGGGGAAAATTAGGAAGCTCTCAAAGCTTGAGACGTCCAGGTACATTGCAGAGCATAACTGGTGTCATTCCTCTCCAGGAAATTTTAATTTTTTTACTTTCCTGAATTATAACAAACACAATTCCGGGCAGAAGTGACACTAGGATGCTGTCAAGCCGGAAGAGGGAGCTGGGAACCAATCAGCGTGCAGCACCGCTGTGTGTTTATATAGACACGCTCCACAACCGGGTCACTTAACTCTCAGAGTTAATTTTTTTTTTTTCCTGTCAGCTATTCAAACCAACAACCATGTCCGAAACCGCACCTGCCGCGCCTCCTGCGCCTCCTGCGGAGAAGGCTCCAGTGAAGAAGAAAGCCCGCAAGTCCGCCGGGGCCGCCAAGCGCAAGGCGTCCGGGCCCCCGGTGTCCGAGCTCATCACCAAGGCCGTGGCCGCCTCCAAGGAGCGCAGCGGCGTGTCGCTGGCCGCGCTCAAGAAGGCGCTGGCGGCCGCCGGCTACGACGTGGACAAGAACAACAGCCGCATCAAGCTGGGCCTCAGGACCCTGGTGAGCAAGGGCACCCTGGTGCAGACCAAGGGCACCGGCGCCTCGGGCTCCTTCAAGCTCAACAAGAAGGCGGCCTCTGGGGAGGCCAAACCCAAGCCCAAGAAGGCGGGCGCCGCCAAGCCCAGGAAAGCCGCCGGGGCGGCCAAGAAGCCCAAGAAGGCTGCGGGGGCGGCCACCCCCAAGAAGAGCGCCAAGAAGACCCCGAAGAAGGCGAAGAAGCCCGCGGCGGCTGCAGGGGCCAAAAAGGCCAAGAGCCCGAAGAAAGCGAAGGTGGCCAAACCCAAGAGGGCGGCCAAGAGCCCTGCCAAGGCCAAAGCCCCGAAGCCCAAGGCGGCCAAGCCTAAAGCTGGCAAACCCAAGAAGGCTGCCCCCAAAAAGAAGTAAGGATTGAGGCGATCTGAAAACACAAAGGCTCTTTTCAGAGCCACCCAATCCGTCTGATAAAAAGAGTTGGTAATACTGTTCGGGAGTGGGGAACGGGAGGGAATGTTTATACTTCTCGAGAGTAAAGGCCTCCTTCCACACAAAGGGTGGTTGGGGCTGGAAAGAGCCTTTGGGGTTAAAATTGGCGCTCGGTGTTGCCGTTCTTTGGGTTTTTTTGGCCTGAGCTTTATGCCCTTGAGATTCAGCCCGGTTGCTACGTGTGTCAATAGCCTCCCTTTTTAATTCACTTGTATAAATTTAAGAATTTGTGTTAATATTTTCAAGGTAGGGAGGGGTTGTTTCTTCAATCCCCCCACTGCGTTTTGTTTCATTTTGTGTTCCGAGCGTTCTCCCTTAAACTGACACTTGGGCAAAGATGCAGAAGCCCTGCAGCTGAGGACTAGGAGTCTAACAACCCTTTACCACTCACGTGGGACTCACTGCGGTGCTATTAATCACTTCCACGTCTGCTTCACGGTGCAAAAATACTACACTGAGGTGTTCCAGGAGTTTGTCAATCTGCCTTTTGGGGTCTATAACTGGATTTCCTCCAGGAATCTGCAGTTGTTGAATAAACTACTAGGAAAGCCGGGCTGCGTGGTTACTGCCGGGACTTGGGTGTCCCCCTAAGTGCAGACCTGTTCACGGAGTTCCTGAAGGGTCTCCAGTGTTTTACCGAGCGCCCACCTGACAGAACCCACATTTTGCATTACCGAAGAGCGGCTAAGGACGCCGCCTTTGTTAAGAGAACATGAGCTTGTCTTAATGGTTCCTGAGGGGTTCCAACAAGCAAGTGCTTAGTCAGCTTAACCTCCAAAGCACAGGTTCTGCCATGGCGACACATCCTGCAGGGAGCTTAGGTTACCTTGAGTTCTGAATTGCTGGCAAGAACGCCCTGTCACCACTACAGGCGCAGCGACTCGGTGCGCAGCTTTGCCCAGCTGACAGTCAGCACAACGGGCACGGCCTACATACACTGGCACCACACGGAGCATCAGGGACGAGGACGTGCCTGCCATACACAAACAGTTTGGGGTTGGGCTGAACTCAGGTGCACACATAAGGGACTGGGGAGGCCAGTGACACGCAAACAAAATGAACTGCAGCCGCGGTGCCTCCCTTTCACCGGGCGGTTGAAACTAGGTTTGCTCACAGCACTTCCAATGGAAAGTGTGGGTGGCTCTGAAAAGAGCCTTTGGGTTTGAAACTACCAGTCGCTGAGACAACTTACGCCCGCTCCCCGCGGATGCGGCGCGCGAGCTGAATGTCCTTGGGCATGATGGTGACGCGCTTGGCGTGGATGGCGCACAGGTTGGTGTCCTCGAACAGCCCCACCAGGTACGCCTCGCACGCTTCCTGCAGCGCCATCACGGCCGAGCTCTGGAAGCGCAGGTCCGTCTTGAAGTCCTGCGCGATCTCGCGCACCAGCCGCTGGAACGGCAACTTGCGGATCAGCAGCTCCGTGGACTTCTGGTAGCGCCGGATCTCGCGCAAGGCCACGGTGCCGGGCCGGTAGCGGTGCGGCTTCTTCACGCCGCCGGTGGCCGGTGCGCTCTTGCGGGCCGCCTTGGTGGCCAGCTGCTTGCGCGGGGCCTTCCCGCCGGTGGACTTGCGAGCTGTCTGCTTCGTGCGAGCCATACCGACCTCTGGAGACTAACTAGCAGATGTAGGAAGGAAAAGCGCTTCACAGGAATATATAACGACAGTCCGGCTCTGATTGGGCCAGGCATCTGTCCATCACGAGGGCGCACTGAAAGAGGCGTTGACTGCCTGATCACGAGTCATTGCTGCGCTCAGACCGAAAATTAACATATTCTTGCCACCCACCCGTTCAACTTCTGGTGTTTTCTCGCCTGTACTTTCTTCGTGTCGTTTCTTTACACTGTTCTTTGCCTTTTCCGGGCAGAATTTAATATAAATAGTACAACGATGTATCTTGTTTGCTGAATAAAAATGTTAAGTTCTATCACCTAAAACTGGCTTTCTATTAATCTTTTTTAAAAAGCGCGCGCTAGATGTGATTGGCGAAATTTTTTTCAGCTTTTTTCAAAGTATGTCTATTTTTCTATTTAAATTTAGAGTATTAAAATTTATGTACGCTAAGTAAACCAAGACCATTAACTGGAATACTTTCACATTTGATACTTTAACTACATGAACACATTTATTTTCCACTAACTATACCATCCTCATCTAAAAGCAGTCCACTGTGTTTCACAATTTCCAGACTCGTGTGTGAAATGGAGTAAAAAAAACCTCCTGACTTGTACATGGTACAAGATTACAGTGTGCGTGGCTTTTCCAAGTCCCGCTGAAGCCTGTTAAGCTTGGCCTAAAGGACAGGTCTGCGGGGCATGCAGTTTTCCATTCCTATTTTCAAGTGTTAGGGCCCAAGAAGTGGACAGGAAAGAATTGCAGATAATTTGTCGCATGATAAAAAACAAGTACTTTGAAGACACCATTGAAAGGAGGCTTTATTGTTTTGTAGGTTAATAACCACATTTGCATTTATAAACATTCACCCTTGGGTAAGCCTTGCTCTTCCCACGATCGTTTTCTCGGAATTTAAACCTGAGGAATTGCTCCCCTGATGAATTTCTTGTGAAACAGTATCTCTATTGATTTTAGTTGGCTGATATATAACACTTGTCTTAACTTTCGTGTGCATTACTAGCTTAACGTTTGAGATGTTTTAACAACTAACATCTACCGACCAACTGCGGTTAATGTCACTTTCAATTATCCACCTAAATTAAGGAGTACGCGAGCCCTTTTAGTGCAAAGATGGGTGGCTCTGAAAAGAGCCTTTGGTTTGGAGTGGACCTGCTGGAGTTGCCGCCGGGTAAGCGGGCCTCTACTTGCCCTTGGCCTTGTGGTGGCTCTCGGTCTTCTTGGGCAGCAGCACGGCCTGGATGTTGGGCAGGACGCCGCCCTGCGCGATGGTGACCTTGCCCAGCAGCTTGTTGAGCTCCTCGTCGTTGCGGATGGCCAGCTGCAGGTGGCGCGGGATGATGCGCGTCTTCTTGTTGTCGCGGGCCGCGTTGCCCGCCAGCTCCAGGATCTCGGCCGTCAGGTACTCCAGCACGGCCGCCAGGTACACGGGCGCGCCGGCCCCGACCCGCTCGGCGTAGTTGCCTTTGCGGAGCAGCCGGTGCACGCGGCCCACGGGGAACTGCAGGCCGGCCCGCGACGAGCGCGTCTTGGCCTTGGCGCGCGCCTTACCGCCCTGTTTCCCTCGTCCTGACATGCTGAGTTTAGATAATCCACTAAAAGCGATCAGAGTTCAGGAAGGGCCCATTTTATAAGCCTTTTCTTTGGGGGCGCGAAAAAGACGGCGTGTCATTGGCTGAAATTGCAGCTTCACTGGTGCAAATGCAAAGTTAGGATTTTCGTTCTGGTTGGGCAGAGCTGTTTTTGACGTCATAATGAATAACAACCAATCAAACACAGGACTATAGTTTATCCTCTCATTTGCATACGAGGTTCTATATAAAAGGGACACAGCGTAGTCCCTTCTCACTATTTTTCTTTCTGTTTTTAGTATCTGATTTGGAGTCGTTCTGATTATGCCTGAGCCAGCCAAGTCGGCACCCGCCCCGAAGAAGGGCTCCAAGAAGGCGGTGACCAAGGCGCAGAAGAAGGACGGCAAGAAGCGCAAGCGCAGCCGCAAGGAGAGCTACTCGGTGTACGTGTACAAGGTGCTGAAGCAGGTGCATCCGGACACGGGCATCTCGTCCAAGGCCATGGGCATCATGAACTCGTTCGTCAACGACATCTTCGAGCGCATCGCGGGCGAGGCGTCGCGCCTGGCGCATTACAACAAGCGCTCGACCATCACGTCCCGGGAGATCCAGACGGCCGTGCGCCTGCTGCTGCCTGGGGAGCTGGCCAAGCACGCCGTGTCCGAGGGCACCAAAGCCGTCACTAAGTACACCAGCTCCAAGTGAGCGCCTGTGCAGCACCCTGTATGGAACCCAAAGGCTCTTTTCAGAGCCACCCACGTTTTCTGAATAAGAGTTGTGGCTGCTAAATACGGAGCTAACCTGTTTTTGTGTGGATTCTCTTAAAAGTGATTATCCTCTACTGTGTTGTGCCACTATCTTAAAATACACGCGTTGTGAATGAAAGCAAAATTTGTATTTAATTGCGCGGTGTCTCTCTTGCTGCCACTGCTTGCTTGGATACCAAGCCTGCCAAAGGCCTGCACGGAAGTAAACAAGTCCTTTGCCTTAAAACCCATTCCGATGAAAAGTGAAGAGAATTTTACGAAAGAAGAGACTAGTGGCAAAACACCCCACTGGGCCTCATGATACTGGCAGTCCAGGAACGAAACACCACACACTTAAGAGTTTGGTGGAATTTACATTAATTTCCTTTTATCGTAGTTGTAAAAATTCATGAACGATTCATGTCATCCTAGTTCAAGCACCACCTTTTGTGGCCTAGGTAGACGTATAATGACAATGACAATGTGTGCTCGTGATTCTAAACCTACTTAAGGTTATAAACCACCATGAATGGGATCCCATGTAGAGTAAATGGTAGGAGTGAACACAATGTTTCTGGATTTTAGTGCAGGTAGGAAAAGGTAATAGTATTCTATATATTCTTGAGTATTATACTTCATGAATAATCTTTCCACTCCCTACACAACACATAAATGTGCACATGCACACGCACCACAGTGCACCCAAAGGTTACGTGTCTTTTCTTGGCTTATTCCTAGTCATCTTTCATGTGTCCTAAGTCACCAAAAAATCAGGCTGGGCCAGGCGAGAAGATGAAGCCTCATAGGCCACAGGCCTGCAAGCTCTACACAAATTTCCCTCATCTGTCTCCTGGAATAAGCTTTACCTATCGGCAGGAACAGAGGATGCTGCCCACTTCTGAGACTGCCTTCCCTGAGAGTAAGGAAAGTGTCTTATGTGATTATCAAACGTCCAATGCTGAGAGGAGTACAAGAGGCAAATTCTTAAACATGTAAAGTAGAAACAGCCCTTTCAGTCAAGGAAGGCTGTGTGCGATGGGCTCAGTGTCCAGCCAGGAAAACCAAAAAGTACTTGTTGTTTTTACATAACTAACTTAATAAATGTCACACTGGTTCTGGAATACTGGAAAGCAAAAGTAGACCTGCTGTTGGAAGGTAAATGAAGGCAGCAGGAGCTACACGCGGGGTTTGGAGCACAGAGAAGTTAGTTATTACAAATATGGACATTTAAAGGGGAGGCCTGGTGGAGAAAAGACTCAGAACACAGTGGGGGTGGTTATAAACGTGATTCTAGAACAGTAGAATCCAGACCGTTAGGGGGAAAAACCAAAGCTGGAAATTGGAACCAAGAGTAAGACCATAGCTGAAACGTCCGGTAACTAGCATGACCTCCCAGCTTCCCTCAGCCATGGCAGGAAACAGTGTGGTGTGCAGGAGCCCAGCTCCCTTACCAGAAACCGCCCGAGTTCAGGGAGCACCTGGAGCAGGGACACAGGGCCTGCTCCACGGAGCACAGGGGCCTCCTGATACATTTCGTTTTTCAATGCACAATGGCTCAGCAAACTCAGGTGTCAACTGTGCTTGAAAGCACAGAAATCATTACAACTCGACGAGAATGTAAATGGCTCTGAAAAGAACCTTTGAATTAAGAGTCCAGACCCTGTGATAAAACCCCTCAGCCAGGACTCTAAAGGCTCCAGGCCTAGGACTGGAGGAAGAGGAGTAAAATTCAGGCCCACACAAGGCCGTGGGCGGAGACCTGTCACCTCACCAAGAGAAAGTTCCGCTTTGGGAGCGGGATTTTCAAATGTTGCTGTCGCCTCTTAAAGACGCTGGTGTGGTGGTTCACATGAAACGTAGACAGGACACTTACGACCCTTGTAGAAGCTACATTAACAACTGCCACCAGCCCACAGCCCCTGTGTGATCTTTAAAAAGGTGACCAGAAGCTCCGAGAGCTTCGGAAGTCACCCCTGGCTTTCAGCCCACGATCTGCACAGGTGGGAAGCCGGTACCGGATGCGAGTGTCAGGATCTCAGGGAGTCACCCAGGGAACCTGGTAACGCTCCTCTTTAGTGTCAGCATGACAGCCCATTAAACACACACTGCAAGGAGGGACAGGCCAGCGCGTAGCTCTTTATGTGAAAACGTGGGTGGCTCTGAAAAGAGCCTTTGGGTTCCAGTGTGCTGCACAGGCGCTCACTTGGAGCTGGTGTACTTGGTGACGGCCTTGGTGCCCTCGGACACGGCGTGCTTGGCCAGCTCCCCGGGCAACAGCAGGCGCACGGCCGTCTGGATCTCCCGGGACGTGATGGTTGAGCGCTTGTTGTAATGCGCCAGGCGCGACGCCTCGCCCGCGATGCGCTCGAAGATGTCGTTGACGAAC